ACCAGCCGTGTTCCCGAAACATCGTGAATTTGAGAGGAGTTGTTTCCATCGAGATGTGTGTGTTCCTTTCCCTTCTGTAATACAATTTCCAGTGTGTGTGAGTGTGTGCGTATGTGTCACAGTGTGTGTCTATGTGACTGCGTGTGTGCATGTGACAACGGAGGTTCCTTCCACTCTGATTCAAACACACAAAGTCACCGGGGACCATTGCACTCATCACATGAATTAAAATGACTCAGATAAACCTCCAAAACAGCCACGAAGGCACAGATAGTTTTACAACCCACCAAAGGCAAGGACATAGAGAAACTCCAAGGAGTCAGCTCCCGAGAGAGCTGAGCCCTCCCAGAGAGGAGAGGCTCTGGCTGCTACCAAGGCCTGCTGGGATGGGGAGGGAGGGCCAGACTGCACTGAGGCAGGGAGGGGCCTGCTGGACACGGGAGGAAAAGCGAAGCCATGCCCGAGGGCTGGCACCTCAGACGAGATTCCCAGATGCCCGGATTCCTGGTCCACGACCACTCGCCACTCCTCCCCAAGGCTCTGTTTTGAGGGTTTTGGCAGGAAGTGCCTCAATCTGGGGCAGATCAGGCAGTGGGCCAGAGCTCTGGGAGGGCGTGAGGCTCCTGCCCAGGGTCGGAGGCAGGTGCTGCCCTCTGGAGATGAGCGGGGCAGAAGAGCTGAGGACCTCCCCACAAGGCATGTGTGGTCAACCAAGAAAGCCGGAGAGGAAGGAGCACTGGGAGGAGCCCCACGTCTTCCACAGCTTTAGGGAGGATTGAGAGAAAGAGCAGAGTTACAGGGAGAAGGGGTGGAAAGGAGGAGGGACAAGGGAACTCCCAGTGCCCGTTCGCCTGGCAGAGAGGCCAGGATACAGCCCTGGGTGGCACAGCCCGAAGGGCAGAGGAAGCCAGAACAGTCTCGGAGCTCACAGACTCCTGGAGCCCACGGAACTGGGCTCTCCAGAACCCCAGGACGGGGAGACACTGTCTGGAAGTGTCCCGCCCCTAGACCTGGTGGGGAACGAGATCTTGACCAGGCTGCATTTCACTCCAGAGCCAGAAGACCCAGAGTGTAAGCATGGATAGGAACGCAAGACAGAGACACCATTTACAAAAACTGAAGGCGAATCCTCTGGAACAGTGGCAGGAGGCTGGGGTCTGAGGACAGGGGCAGGAACCGGGGAGACTCCACTCATTTCAGGGGTCCTCAAAGGGGAGGACCTGGGTCCTGGGTTCAGAGGAAAACAACACAGGAGGAGGAAGTGGGTCACGAGGCTACACAGTGTTTTTATTTTAAATGACACACGAGTTCCCTACAGAGAAAACATCAATAAGAACCAGGAAAGGTCCCTGTGGCCCACCTGACCCCTGGAC